ATTTTATACTTTTTAATTAAACATTACAAATCAAGAGGCGTTACAATAGGCGGATACATTTTAGGGTCAAGACCCTTGCTGAGATCAGTAAAAGATATTTTTGGGAAAATTACAAATACAAGATTCTCATAAAGTTCCGAGTTACAATAGGGAAGTGAATCTTGGTTACCCATGAAGCAAACAGGATATATTGCCCAAAATATTGCTAAAATATCGCTGATTGAAGGTTAAAATTTTGCTGACTTTAAAGCACGCAAAAGGCTGTCATGATTATTTTTGGTTTGTTCCTTACACCCATGCTTTCCTGTTTCACTCTTGTGCAAAGCTTGCATTTACGTTCCCTTAATTTTTGCAATAGGAGAAAGAGGAAGTTTTAGGCCAGTAGTTCAAAAGTGAGCTTTGATTTTAGTATTAAGCATTTTAAAGGTTATAATATTTAGCCTGTTAGAATCACCTAACCTGGTCAACCATTGGTGGGTTTACCTGTGCACCCCCTCCTGCATCACATTCATGGGATAAAACTGGCTGTATAGACTTTGCCCCTTCCCTATTCTGGGCTCTCCCAGGCTGAGAGAATGCAACATAGTCAAAAACCCAAGAAAAAGGCAGCAAGGCAGTGAACATGTTGTAGGCTGGTCTTACACCAGATCCTCTTCCATGTACCATTTCCCTGTCCACTATTATATTCTAAGGACAGATTCAGCCCACTGGGTCAGCAGGGTTTCACGTCTCAACAGTTGGCAGCCCTATTTCTTTGTTCAGTAATCCATCTGATGGGAATAAACCTCCTTATTTGAGATATGTGCCTTTTGGGTGCTGGAACATTTCTCTCTGTTTGTCAGGGTTCCTGAAAAATCTTTCTGTAGATTTCTCTGCACACTTCTCTGAGCCACCAAAAGGTTTTCTTTTTTCTCTTTTTGGCCCCAACCCTCCCACTGTTTCCATTTATCTTCTCTGCTCCTGACTCTGGACCTTTGAATGTGGTTCTTATGCAAATACTCAGCGATAGGAGAGATATACACATATCAACTAAATGGGCCAGTGCCTTAAGCCAACAAGGTTATCCGGCCTATTCCTGTAATCCTGTTAACAATACTGGAATAAACCAGTTTACCACTTCCAATTCCAAACAAAGAAAAGCTGTTCCCCTTGCTTTCTGATCATGTAACTTTGCACCTTTGATAACCCAGGATTGCTCATGGCACTAAACCACAGATATAGAATGTTGGCTCCTGCCAAGCTTCATGAATGAGGATTTTAGGAAACAATCATGAAGCAAAGGAAAGAGGATGGAAAATAATAGTATTAGAAAATTAGCTTGAGGCTCCACTGGGTTGGTGTTGGAATGATGCTAAAATACAATTTGGACTTAAGGCTGTCTCATATACCATCTGGGATGAAGCAAAAACAAAGGGGAAACAGCATAAACAATTGCCAGGGCATGTTTTTGCAGCAGTTTGGTATTGTGGTTAAGGCACCAGGTTGGAAACTGGGAGACTGTGAATTCTAGTCCTATCTTAGGCACAAACGTGACCTTGGGCCAGCCCCTCTGTCTCAGCTCTAGCAGCCAGGTAAAGGCAAACCACTCCCAAAATCTTGCCAAGAAAACTCACAGATGCAGTCTGGCAGTTGCCAGGTGACAAAGCCGACTTAAAGGGCTCTAAACCAAACCAAACCAAACCAAACCAAAAAAGGAGGGTTCAATGGAAAAAGCAGGGGCCTGAAATTTAAATCGTCTAGGTTTGATATGATTAATACCACTGCATTTGCAGCTGTGAAATTAGCAGCACCATTTCATGAAGCTCGTGTGGAAATGACAGTAATGTGAAGAATATAACTCACAGATTCATTTCTAGCTTGAATTTTAAACTAATCCTCACCAGCCAACTTTTTGCCACTTCTGCAAACTACTGGGGGGGGGGGGGAGAAACTTTTATACCTGCTACCTAATAAGCTTAGGAAAAGGAAAAGTAGAAGAATGGTAGAAGTCCCCAGCTGGGATCCCAAAGAAAAGTTAGGATGTAAATCTAATGCAGGAGTGTCAAACTTGTGTCATCACAGCAGCATCATGTGATGTATCTGGACTTTCCCCCCCTTTGCTAAATTGGGCCTGGGCATAGCTAGTGTGTGACTCATCTGGCCCGCAGGCCACTTGTTTGACAGCCCTGCTCTTAGTGAGTAGCCTACTCATTTTTTTATTTTAATATTTAAATTCTGTCCTGCCAATAAATATGCATCAGTCATAGTGTGCGGTTTGATTTTATTTAGCATATTGTGTGTACCTAGACACTCTGACTTGTTTCGACAAACCACAGTAAAACTAAGCCTAGCTCAACAAGGCTAAGGAAATCAGGACACATCTACTGGACAGGATGATTCCTTTTCCATGTTCTTGCTCTGTCACTGAACCACACTGGAGCTCCGATTAGCCTATGGCTGGAGAAGATCCACAATTTATAATCCAAGCCAAGGGAACCTCCATAGTGAAGAGCAGAGTTAGGTAGGAGATGCTGAATATTCACAGATGTGAATCCAGCTGCACTTCCAAGAGAAGCATTTGGCAACATCCATGCACAGGACTATAGGTTTTGCACACATTTTTTCCCCATACATCTCTGTCAACTCTTTTCTTCTTACTTAACTTATAGGATTGGGGAGTAGGGATTGGGGAACCAACAACTTTCCAATTTTCTCCACCCAATGCCTTGGATACCAAAAGATTGCATTTTAATCACTGTCTGCATTTGCTTTTTTTTCTCCTTAGTTCCTGGCCTTTGATACCCAGCTGCTGATGGGGAACCGTCGCTATGCTATGAGTCCAGAGGAATATATTTTTGGAGCCCTCAACATATATCTGGACATCATCTACATATTTTCTTTCCTCCTTCAGATCTTTGGAAGCAGTCGGGACTGAGCCTCTAGGCCCTGTGTCTGATAAAACAGAAATATATTTAGAAAGAGAAAGAGAAAGAGAGAGATTTATAATAATACAACAAGCAAGAAAGGAGAGAAGGAAAGAGAAGTAACCTCTCTGTCCTTTAGCAAGCTTAATTGCTTCAAGAGAGCATTTGCTCACCCACTGGTCTACCTGAGCTCCCGATGCAGTCGTGTGTGTGTGCGCGCGTGTGTGTGTGTACACTTGTGTGTGTATTTATATACACATGCTCTTAGGATAAACCGGTATATATGCTAGGCTTTCCCTTGCTTTCATAACTGCTTTCAATATGTATACTGAAATTAGTGTAATAGAGGAAAGAGCACTTAGGAGAGAGAAAAAAATACTATTGATTTTAACTTAAAACTGAACAAATGAAGAAACGAAATAGTCAGAAACTTAAGTTTGCTATACCCAAAGTGAGCAAGTTGTAAAAACGCCCAAAATGTATGTAAAGTTCATTTTGTTATTATGTGAATTGTTCCAAATTTCAGAGTTCTGGCGCAATCCTAGTCTGTATATTGTTGTTTCTACTTAGATCTGCTCCCCCACAGAGAGTTTAGTAGGTTATATATAGTTCTTCTTGGTTATTTTTTTAGCCAATTGAATAACAAGATTTTATCTGCTGAAATTTCTTAGTATTCTTTCGGGGCCTTCATTTTGGCTAGATCATTTTTATTTGGCCTACCCATTTAATTTCCCGATTTCTAGCTGAAGATATCTTTTTTAAAAAAGAGTTATTTTGCAGATTTTTGTTTTGGACCTAATCTCAGGCTAGCCAAAAAGGGAGAGAAAAGTGAACCTTATAAAAAATGAACCAAGAGCAATGTTGGAGTTGGTTATGCTCTGGTCCCAACCACTGGTAGAACCACCGTTTGCTTTCCTTGCACATGTGCTTCTGCTACATCACGTCTTCCACTTGTCCTTACTCTCTACTTCCACCCAAATGTTAAGTTCCTTGGGACATTGGTGGTAGTGCAGAGGAGATCTTTTCAAGAGCTTATCAGAGCCCAGAAGATGACAAGGCAATCAGCAAATAAGAGAACCATCATCGATTTGAGCACATTCTTATTATCCCATTATTTTGTGAGTGGGTATTGAGTGGGCTTTATAGAAGAAAGAGACACCTTTTGGCAGTTTCATAACATGTAAATAACTAAATCTAAAGAGGATTTCTGAAAAGGGTTTATTCATTCTCTGTAAGAGTCTTCAATAACTTTGCACTCTCCCCATAATAATCCTTATGAAGATGAAGAGACATAGATGGGAACCTTATTTCTCCTACAAGACATTTTTGTAACCCTGATCACTTTTATCCATTAAAAAGTATCTTGCTACTTGTCCTGTGCAATAGTCCAGAACTACTTTTTCTACTTTGGTGTAATCATCGAGGCCTAAAAACATAATTTGCAAGTTGTCACTTAAAGGTACAGGTATGCAGGTCTTGGCGTATCACTTGCCATCTTCAGGCTGGTGCTTTCGGCTTCATGCTCGTGCGAGCTGCCGAAGGCACCAGCCTGAAGATGGTGAGTGGGACCTCGTCGAAACGTCGCCAAGATACCCTCAATCTTACATGGGAAAAGACCTGAATATGCCAAGACCGTGCTTTATTCAAGTATAAAGTATAATCTTTATTGTCATTGTACTTAAATACAACTAAATTGGTTTTAACCTCACTGGTGCAAAATTATAGCAGAAACGAAAAAAGAAAGAAAAAAAAATAGGGTGTGCATGGAGTGATTGTGGTTGTATTTAAAAGTCTGACAGCCCAAGGATAGAAACTATATTTAAAACTATTTGTTTGGCTGGCTATACTTTGATGTCTTGAAGAAAGGCTTGCCCCAAAAGTAAAAAATAACAAAAAAAAAGCTTCTTCCAACATGTTAAAAACAAGAAAAAAGTTAAGGAAACAATTGGCCCATTGCTGGGAGAAAGTGACAAGAAGGTGACAAGCAACAGGGAGAACCATTTAACTCATTTTTTGCATCTGTTTTTACACAAGGGGGAAAAAGCAGTCCAACCTATCAAAAACATC